CTGGCGCCCGATGTCAGAGCCGCTGGTATTGACGCCTTGGCGCTGACGCCCTGGCGCCTGATGTCAAAGCCGCCAGTGCTGACGGCCGGCTCGCCTGTGTTTCAGTGCCAGGCGCTGGCCGGCCCGCGGCTCCAGAGCAAGCTGCACAAGTACTTGGCGGACGGCGACTACCTCGCCCTGCCGGTACGTGGCGGCGAGGGTCGCTGTGGACATGGCCGGGGGCGCGACCGCGCTCTGGGCCTCGCCGAGCGCTGCTGTGTCCGGGGCACTCAGCTTGAACCAATTAGGGGTTGTTCGGATGAACAGCCGCCTCGGAAACCGGGTCTCACTTCGGCTTCCCCGACGATGGAGATCCCAGTGGTCGTATCACTGCCACTGCGTACGCCGTAAAGTGATGCAAAGAATGACTGCTGTCTCGATGCGACGTTCGTCTGGCTGGGCGGCGCGAACTGTCGGCGCTGTTTCCGAAGCCGTGGTAGGGGAAGGCGAGCGGTGTTGTGCTTGTGGGGATCCCCTGCGCAGCGATGGCTTCCGTCTCGTCTTGATCGCTCCTCTGTCCGGCACCTGGGGTGACACTGCGGCCCCGCCGCCCGTCCTCTCCGCAGCGGAGCCTGTCGCAGGACCTGACGGCGTTCGTGCGCACCGAGTGGGCGGCGCCGGAGAGGTGTGGTCTGTCGGCGGCCGCGCTACCCGGCCCCTTGCGCGCGCTGCTCACCCTCGTGCGTCACGAGGACGGCCCCGCCTGGGTGCGGCTGCTGCTGCCGCCACTGGCGGCGCTCTTCCTGCCGGTCTTCGCTAGCGTCGTGGTTCGCCGCTCCGCCGCCAGGTGCGCTGTGCAGAGGAGACCGCGGCCGAAACGCCTTGGAGGCTTCGTGGCTCCACTCGTAGCCGCTAGGGCGTGTGCCGAGAACTCCGTTGGCCTTGTCTCCGCGTTCCGCGCTATTGATGGGAGTATGTGCTGTGGGGAAACATTGCTTCGTCAAGCAGTTGGGGGCGGGGGGGGGGGGGGCCTGGTCGGTCCCGGCATCGCTGGAGAGGGGGGAGGGGGGGGGGGAGGGAAGACGGGGCGGAATGGCGGCTCTCGCGGCGTCTGCGCCCCGCACGTGTCGTTGCTGTGCGATGTGAACGTCCCAGTGTAGGGAGGCTCGGGAGAGATTAACGATCTATGCTCGGCCGGGTCAGCCCGACGCCGCTGCCACCGCCGGCGTCGCTGCCCGCTCCGTGGGCCGGTGCTGACACCCGGCCTCGCTCCAGGCTGCGGCGGCGCCTCCACACCAGCGGGGCCAGACCGTCCGTATCGAGGAGCTGGAGGGCCTCACCACAGCCTGCCGCGCCGGGCTGCCGGCCGCTAGACGCCGCCGAAGCTGAACAGCTGGCGCTGCCGGCGGCCGGCCGCGCCCCCCCGGCCACCATCCTGTCGGAGGCGGGCTACCCGGACCTGTCGCACGAGAAGCGACAGCAACAGCAGCAGCAGCAGCAGCAGCAGCAGCAGCAGCAGCAGCAGCAGCAGACTGCCCACACTGCCCGACGACGAGACGTGCCCGCCGCAGACCACGTCGCTCTCGGAGCCCACGTACCCTGACCTGTCCGGCGAGAAGCGGCGGCTGGCGGCGCAGCTGGCCGGGCCGGGCGCGTCCGCGCCGACAGCCGACGCAGCGGCCCCCGTCGCCGCCGCCGCCGCCGCCGACGACCGCAAGGAAGAGTGGGCGGCTCGCCTGGGCGTGGGCGGAGCGCCGGCGGCGCCATCCGCTCCCGATGAGGCCGCCCACGCACCCGAGGCCAGGTGAGAGCTGACGTGTGCGCCGACCTGAGCGCCGCGTGTCGCGCGCGTGAGAAGGCATGCCCGTCGTCGTGTGGCGGTCTGGTGTCCGGGGTGTCGCCGTCGTGTGTGTGGCGGCAGTGGTATGCCATGTCGGCCGTCGGGGTGGCGGGGGGGGGGGGGGGAGGGGCGAGCGCGGACGGGATCTTGCCGACGCCGGCCGCGTCCGCCGCGCAGGGATCGTGGGGCGCCAGGTCCGGCGTGACGTAGGGCGCCGGCGCGGTCGGTGCGGACGCTGCCGCTCGCTCCGCTGTCGGGCGCCGGTGGCCGGCGGTGTGGTGATGGGCCGCCGCTGAACCGCGCCGCCGCCGCCGCCCTGCCGGCAGCGCGGCGCTGCTGCCGAGGTCGAAGCAGCGCGGCCTGGAGCCCGTCGCCGCCGCCGCCATCGCCGACGTCGAGGCCGGGCAGCTGCAGCCGCGCCACGCCGCGATCACGGCCGCCGGCTGCGCCATCCCCGTTCTGGCCGCCACAACGTACCAGTCTGTTACGGCGCTGCAGGTGCGTGTGCGCTCCCAGGGCGACCCTGGTCCGGACCAGACCCAGGCTGGCGTCGTGAGCGTGAGCATACGACATGCGCGCTGACTTCAACCCCTCACATTGCTCCGACGGTTGCCGTCGTTTTAGGGCGTAGAGTTCTAGCGTGCGTGAACCACTGGTTAAAGCGTGCATGTGTGAAAGTGCAGTCCTGACATTTTGAGGAATGGTGTTCCTGGTCCCCGAACATCTACGTGCGTGCGTGCGTTCCGGGGGGAGGGTGGGGGGGGCGGGGGGAATCTTTGCGGGTTAATTCTTGACAGCCCGCACCTTGTGAAAGTTAGCTTTGAATAGTGTCTGGAACATCATGAAAGAAACATCCTCAACGCGGGGTTTCCGGACGTGGAACACTGGTACTTTCACGCCGCTCAGCCCAGCGTCGCGCTACTGTGGCGGTCGCATCAAATGGTCTCCGACGGTGTCGCCGTCGCCGTGCCGTGCGGTCGGCACCGTCGTGGCCGCCTGCTGACCCTCCGTGACCCGCCGTCAGCTGTTCGCCGCCGGGGACGCGGGCGTGTGTGCCGCCTCGCCCATCTACTCGGTGGTGTCCGTCGGCGTGCCCGGTCTGGGCGGCCTGGTCAACTTGGTGCCGGCCGTCGCCTTCGCCGCCGGCCTCTGGCTCGTGCGCCGCTCGTGGACGCGTGCCGCCGCCGCTGTGACCAAGGTCAGTGATGGGCGCGCTGGAACCGCCCAGAGACGGCGCTGGGGCCGGCTGCCAGGAGAGCCTAGGGCATGTGCTGCAGGATCGGCTGTGTGTAAGCTGCTTGCTTTTGCGTTTGCCGGCGGGATGTGGAGCGCGTCGTTTGCAGTTTGTGGGTCGGCCACACCGAACGGCTGTGTTTGTGGGAGCTTCCGCCCCTCGGGTGCGTGGCGACCCGGTTTGGGGCGGCGGGGCCGCTGGGGGTGGTCCGATGTGGGCGCACGGCTGTGCACGTGTCGTGCCGAGCGGGCCCTGTATCGCGCCACACGGACAGCTCGTGGTGGACCTCCGCCGTCGACTCCGCGCGCTCGCCGCTCCCTTATCCGGCACATGGGTGTGGAGATGAATGGGGGATAACCATCACGAGCTCAGTGATGAATTGCATTTACGCTGCATTGAACTCGTTTGTGTTTCGCCGTTTTCAGAGCGGCTTGGGGCCAGGTGTGTACATAGATGACTCAGGCCACTGGGTTGTCCGTTTCTTAAATATATTTCAGACATGTGCGCTGGGCTAGCACATTGGAAAGGTTTCGACCCGTCCCCACTCGCCACCCTCCCGTTTCGTGTTGACCCGACCGCACAGTACTGGGAGTGCGAGGTCACACCAGTGCCGGAGGCGGTCTGGCGCCAGCGGTGCGCGTGCGCCCGTCGCTGACGCGTGAGGACGCCGTGTGCCGGCAGACGGGCGCGGTGGCTGCCTGGCCCGTGCCTGGCGCCGAGTGGCTGCTGCTGGGGCTCGCCGCCCAGTCGGCCGTCGCCGGACTCTGCCCCGGCCACCTGCAGCTGTTCGCCGGCAGTGAGTGACTGCGCGTGCCGGTCGCCGGCGGGGTGCGCGTCGGTGCCTCGGCGCCTCCGCCACCGGTGGGCCGCCTGCGATGCCGCTAACTGTGCTCGGATTACGTGAGAATGGCTTAGTGAGGGGTGAGCGTTTGGTGGTGTTGATGATGATTGAGAGAAGTGGTGGTATAGGGGAGCGTCCAGTGGACACGGTGGTGGACACGGAGCATATTGTGGACACGGTGGTGATTGGACGGCGGTGCCTGGGACCGTACGAAGCATGCGCTGTGTGTTGTGATGTCACGTACGTGTGCGCGTGCCCACGTCATGCTGCCCCATCGAGCTCAGTAGCGCAGCTAGCTGCCATTTTTTCAAAAGCTAACGTATGTGACCTGCCATAGATTTTAAGTTAGTTGAGAAACATTAGATAGGAACGGTTCTCACGTGATGTCGGAAATCTTTATGCAAGTCAATGGGGGAGTAATAAACGTCCTGCCAAGTGAATGGCCCAACACTTTCATGATAGTGGATGCTTTCGTCGGTTGGTCCTGGGTCTTGATATCTTACCCACCTCGCCCGACGAACGTTTGTTATAATTAGCAAGTTTTGATGCATAGCTGTGTGGACCAGGTCTGCACTGACATGATTTGTTTGCAAAAAAGACTGGGTTGTGCGCCAACCTCCCCTCTTCGCCACCTTTTCGGACTCAGATATCTACAGTTATTTGGCTGGAATGAGTTGGACCAACCCGCTACGCTGTTGAAACGGGGACCGTGTCTGGTTACGCACAGCCATTTGATCAGTACCATGCTGGTTGACCTGTCTCTCCACTTTTTACCGTGAAGGAGTCTCCCCGTGTGCTGCCCTGCTGCCGAAGAGCAGCCCGGCGCCGGATGTATGCGAGGTGCGCTAACCCGGCCGACCCCGCGGTCGTGACCTGTCTCCGCTGACCGGAGCCGCCGTCCTCCGTCAGACACGTTCGCGGTGGCGCTGCTGGGCTCGCTGGCGGCCAGCCGTCTGCCGGCGGCCGGGCGGCCGGCGCTGCTGCCGCCGGTCGTCGTCGGCTCGGTACTGGCGGCGGCTCCCGGCTGGCTGCCGCCGCCCGTTGCCGCCGCGGCCGCCGCTGTCGCCGTGATCGCCCACTTAACGACCGCGCTGCTCCTGCACCGCCGCCTCCTCCTGCCCGACCGGCACGGTGAGCGCGGTCCTAAGTTTGTCCTACATCTGGGTGGAAAATGACACCTTTTCATTGTTTTTTTTTTAGGAATACTTGCACAATGTTTTCTTTGATCCTCCCACCACAAAACAAACAGTCAAATCAATCGGTACTTTTCTGGGAGTACCATTAACTGCCACTCAGAACAAAACAAAGGAAACGACCTATAGGTCATATTTCCCACATTGGATATGGCCAATGTTTGCATCATGTAATGCATTCATTGGCTACAATCTGACTTCATATTTTAGATGATTTGACAGGAGAGCTAGGGCCCATCGCTTATCATATCCTGCCGAGGTCCATCCTGCATCCTGCAAAATGCCATCTACAGGAAATGGAGAAGATCATGCCTGCTTCGTACAACTATGTTAGCGCGCATCCAGCATCCGCCATCCAGTCTGTATTTGACCTCTGACCTAGACTATGCATCATGATACAATCCTGAGACCCAAATGCATCCTATTTTGTTGATGGTAAATTCAAATGAGCTACATGCCGGCACAGCATGTATTATAGGTACACATACACATACTGATACTGAAATATATTTGACAACAATAATGCAGCAAGCCTTATTGTCATCAAATATAGGTCATTATCCCATCAGCACGGAATGAAGCTGGAAGCTGCAATCTGCATGTTAATTCGCTAGTCCGCGTTTCCAACAGGATTAAATGCTCCTACACCACACGGTCATGGGGACACAATCACGCCACAAGATAATGACCACTGTTAATTATTTGGAGCAAGTTGCAGCCAATCCAGATGCGTTATAACCTCAAATGCCATTCTGATCAGACGCACTAGTCGAGTTCTAACGTGCCTTGATTTGTTACATGGATTTGTTCATAACCCACCGGTCTTCTGCCACGCTCAAACCTCTGAAATAAACTTAAGTATTCATATATATATATATATATATATATATATATATATATATATATATATATATAATTCATTCACTCATTTTTCATTCATTTTATTTCATTCATTGTGACGATGAAGCCGCCGTTTTTTGAATACCTTTTTGATATCAGATATCAACATCCCTTCAAGGTTTTTTTACATCCGCAAACCCTGCCAAAGCCGTATTTTAGAGCACTGGGCGAGGGCATGGTGTCGGCTGGCGCCACCCCGCCGGCTGGGTTGGCTGGTTGTGGTTCGTGTGGTGGCTGTGGCTCAGCTTAACGTAACATATCGCCGCTGGAGAGTTGCTTGGTCCGCCTCAAAGCTGCTGGAGAGTTGTTTTGGTCTGCCGCCTGCGGTCCAAGAAAGGCTTTTGAGCGTGCTGCCGTGTAGACTGTGGTCACTTCGTGTCGCGCGTCTTGCGTGGCGCGTGTCAGCATGTGTGCGAGTGCTGGCGCCAACACGAACAGCGCCACTGCGCTCAAACCGACTCCGGCGCCCGACGAGGCGGCTCCCAGTGACGTCATCCCCGCAGCCTGACGCGCGCGTCCCGACTGCAGCGTCGCTGACGCTGGCGCAGCAGCTGCGCCTGGCTGTGGTCCAGCTGCCGGTCTTCTCCGGTACTGTGACGCTAGCTAACCTGGCCACGGCCGCGCTGGGCGTGCTGGTGCTCTCGCCGGACGGCTACCTCGGCATGGTCGGCATCGTCAACCTCGTGGTCGTCCTGCTCGCCACGCGACGCGGCAAGGTCGGTTCGCTTGAGTGCTTGCCTGATTTGGAGGGTGATGATGTTCGTGATGTAAAACAGGTCGGTCGCGTCTCGCTGCCGCGGTGTGCTGCCGAGCACCGTCTAGTTGTAATCAGACCGAGCGCGTTTCGCGGCGGCGGGATGAGCGGGCCGCCGCCGCCGCTCGTGGCTTCGCAGGTAGCGAGTCGCTGCGACTCCGACTTGCAGCCTGCCCGGCTCGAGACTGGCCGTGCCTCGGCGGCCGGGTGCTGGCTCCGCGCGGCGTCAGCTGGTGGCGGCGCTCTGACCGGTGCTGTCGGTGCTTGTCCGCTCCGCAGGGGACGGGCGCGGACTGCCGGCCGCTGGCCGATCTCACCGTGCCGACTCTGATGACGGGTGCGACGGCGTTCATCGCTGCACTCGTCCTGGGTGAACTGGCGGTGAGTCTGGTCGGGATGGGCACGAACGGTGAGTCTGGTCGGGATGGGCGCGGGCGGTGGGCCTGGTCGGGACAGGCGCGAGCGGTGGGTCTGGTCGGGACAGGCGTGGGCGGTGGGTCTGGTCGCGGCGGGCGCGAGCGGTGGGTCTGGTCGCGGCGGGCGCGAGCAGTGAGTCTGGTCGGGATGGGCGCGAGCGGTGAGTCTGGTCGGGATGGGCGCGAGCGGTGGGTCTGGTCGGGACGGGCGCGAGCGGTGGGTCTGGTCGGGACGAGCGCGAGCGGTGAGTCTGGTCGGGACGGGCGCGAGCGGTGGGTCTGGTCAGGACGGGCGCGAGCGGTGGGTCTGGTAGGGACGGGCGCGAGCGGTGAGTCTGGTCGGGACGGGCGCGAGCGGTGGGTCTGGTCGGGACGGGCGCGAGAGGTGGGTCTGGTCGGGATAGGCGCGAGCCTGATGGGGCCGCACGACAGGGCGAGGCCGCTGCTCGTCTGCCGTCGGCACATGACAAGGCCAGGACGGCTGCGTGCACACACGACATGGCCAGCGACGGCAAGCGACTGCTGGTGCAGCCAGACACATCGGCTCCAGGCCGCGGGTGTATGGTGTCCGTCCCCAGAGGCCTTGAGCATTCCGCCGGTCCCTGGTAATGGTTGCTTGGCCACGCTGGCGCTGTTTGCGCTGTGCAGTTCGCCTTCCCGTCGTGGCGCTGATGTCTGTGCTGACGTTGTCCCCTCATGTCGGCCCTCTGCCACTGTCGCCGTCCGCTCTGCGACCGTCTGTGCTCGCCGTTGGTACATGACCTACTGCATGCGCGGCGGCGCATCCGATGCGGCGTGCGAGCGCTTGACGCTGTCCGCGCCGCGCGCAGAGTACCCGGCTCCTGGGACGACTGGAGGCGGCTAGCGTGGGCGGCCTGTTCTACCTGATCGCCGGTCTGCTGCTGGCGCTGGTAAGTCGCCGGCGCATTCAAGGCTCTCTCCGGCCCTCCCCGGCGTATGCAAGGTCCTCTGGCCCTCCCCGTCGCGTGCAAGGCCCTCTGGCCCTCCCCGGCGTATGCAAGGCCCTCTCCGGCCCTTTCCGGCGCGTGCAAGGCCCTCTGGCCCTCCGCGGCGTATGCAAGGCCCTCTCCGGCCCTCTCCGGCGCATGCAAGGCCCTCTCCGGCCCTCCCCGGCGCGTGCGGGGCCCTCTCCAGCTCCCTCCAACTCTCGAGAGTGTCGTAGCGTTTAAGGTGCCGATATAGAGGCGGTGTGATGCCTGCGACTCACGGTACGGCATTGAGCACGCCGACAGGCGGGCCAGGGATGCAGTTCCCCATTCAGTTGATGGCGCTCCAAGCCTTCCCCTACGTGGGCTTCAGCCCGCCCCTCCCCCTAACTTGGGGAAAAAAATGGTCTAAACTCGGGGAGAAGCCAGTTTGCTGGCGTAAATTGGTGATTGGTTTCGTCAGTTTTCACTTCCCCCCCCCCCCCCCCCCCCCCCTCCTTATTTTGTGAAAGCGCACCTTGATGACTGGCTACGCGGTACTGCTGTCCATGCCGCGACCATGTACCGGTGAACGAGCCACATGATACCACGCAGTCACTGTAGCGGTACACGGACCATGCGATGCTGTTGTTTACGGCACGGCGTTTAGTGTGTCATTTTACGGGTCTCACGAAACTGCTGGTAGGCTGTCTTGTTGTATAGCTTACCAACACAGGGGCTGGGCGATGCTGCTGTGTCTCCTGGCACGGCACC